AGGGCGGCCGGGGGGGGGGGTTGAGCTAAGCGGGCCATGTGCGGGCCAGTATGATTGTGCTTGTGCCTGTGCTTGGGCATTAGTTGGCCGTGTGGATGAGGAGGAGGAGGGGGATGATGATGATGTTGATGACGATGGCGTGGGATGTAGGAATAAGTAGTCTACAGCTAAGGTCCGTCCCTGCGTGCCGAAAAACCCTATGTGCCGAAAACGACCAATCGGAGTGCGACGTTTAGAGGGAAGTCCATGATCCTTGCGATCCGATTGGTCGTTTTCGGCACATAGGGTTTTTCGGCACGCAGGGACGGACCTTACACAGTAGAGTAAGAGAGATAGAGAGAGAGAGCATGGAACTCAACGGCGCCGGGATTGCAGCGGGCCGCTCCCCGGAAAGTCGACGAAAGGGACAAAGCAGTGAGTGGTGCTCGATGGGCGAGTGATGGGTGCTTGGCTGTGTCGGTCAGCCAGCCAGTGGAGCTGGTAGGACCAACTAAGTAAGGACTTAAGCGGTACAAGTAGTGGGTAGACAGAAAGCGGCCAAGCTGGGAGCGATGGGCCGGGGGCCCAGCGACACACGTGCTCGCAGGAGGCTGCGGGCGATAGTGAGTGGATGGGGGAGGACGGATGGTGGAGGCGGTGGAGTGGTGGGATTTGGGGTAGGGCCAATGAGGCGGGCCGGAGCCCGGCCGGCCGGAAGCAGGCGTGTTGGAGATAGGGACACGCACACGCACGCCCACACGCAGCACCAGTCAGTCTGCCAGTCTGCCAGTCCGCCAGTCCGCCCGCGCGTCGTGGAGCTTCCTCCTTGCTCGGCTACAACCTGTCGCGGCTCAGTCTCCTGTTCCCCGAGCATGTGCGTGTGCGTGTACCGACTGAAACCCTGGCGCCTTTGCTGTCTGAACCTCTGCGCCCTTGAGTCGGGAATGGGAACGCGCGAGCCATGGGGGTTACGAGGCGAGCGGAGGCGACAGCACTGCCTATATCTGAATCCCGCAGCCATGGATGATGATGATGATGATGATGATGCATCCAGCCATACACCCAGCCATGCATCCAGCCATGCATACACTCACTCACTCTACTTGGCCAGACACATTGGGGCGCCGAGGTGCGTCCCGGGCGACGGCTATTTGGACTGCAGTGAAGCGGACTTACCACGGCCCCTGCCATCGAATCACAGCGACAACAGCCCCTCTCAGAGCAGAGGGCAGCGAGGGCAGCGAGGCCAGCATATGACTACTGAGTATGCAAATACTTGGGCTGCTTCTCTCCGCGGCACGCACCCGTAGTGCCGAGCACTCGCGTTAGCAGCCGTGCTAATATGGCGTTTGACGAGGGGGACGGGGGACGGGGGACACAACGGGCAAAGAGCAGTGCGCTGTTTCCAGCACCATGGGCCACGGCGCCAGCGTATAACCCACAAGGCCATGGACCAAGTCCATATATTGGCACTTGGAGCATGCAAACCATGTACGGCTATATTTATAAATACATGTATATATATATACACCCATATAGAGTGCATGGTGTATATAGGTGTATATATATAAACATGTATTTATATATACATGAGGAAATGTATAAACTTGGACAAGGTTACTTGGTCACAGATATGAATGTAGTGACAGTGTACATATATATATATATATATACATACTACGAAGATGCAGCAACGGCGGATGCAGCTTGTCGACAGAGCGGCTTGGACAGGACTAGACGCACGCTGAGGTCGGACAGCCCAAAGGAAGGGAGCTGGGAGCCAACCTCCAAACCCCCGGCTGTCCATGTTGACCTAATCAATCGCGCATTTCTTTTGACCTCGCCCATTCCTCCCGCCATCCTGACTGCCTGCCTGTCCCGCCCTCGCCTGCCGCGTGTGTCGACACCCGCAAGCCCTGCCCGACGAGGTTGCTGTTGTTATTGTTATTATTATTGTTATTATTGCTGCTGCTGCTGTTGTCGTTGTTGTTGTTGTTCTGGTAGTGGTGGTGGGAGTGGAGGTGGTTGATAGGTGATTTGCGCACAGGCTGAACCAGCGCCCGCCCGGCCGGAGCAGCCAGCAGCGCTCTCTTTCACGTGGGCACACGAGCCACTGCAGCCAGAGAACCCTGACCAAGACTGCCACGGCTCGCCCAACATCTCCCTTGATCTCGACCCTGTCCGTCCGTCATTCTGTCTGTCTGCTTGCCTGCCTGCCTGTCTGCCTACCTGCCTGCCCGTCCGTCCACCCATCCACCCCCCATCCACCCACTCACCCTCTCCCACCCGCCTCTCTCTCCCTGTCTGCACCCGTCCGCCTCGCTGTTGGTGCTGCTGGTGCTGCTGCTGGTGCTCCCGCTGTCCTTGTCGCTGTCGCTGTCGCTGTCGCTGCTGGTGCTGCCGCCGTCGCCGCCGCC